ATCTACTTGCATTTGCATGCTTTCGAACCGCTAGGTTGGCGGGAGCTGGGACAAGCGACGGGCGCTCACTCCGTCGCGTGGATTCGATCTTACGACTGCTTGGTCTTCTGACCCTGCAGCACAGGCTTCTGCGGTTTAGCCCACAGTGCCACCACGTCTCTGACAATGAACTAAATGTAAACGTCTTCCTGCTCTCAATATTGCTTGTATTTTGATGCATAGCACATCATTAATAGCAATAAGCTAGAGCCCAGATGTTTTGATTAGCAGAGGAAAAAATATCTACCACTCCACACCGTCTGTTCTTCCTGTTCCATTTGAGCTCGCTGCCCTCGTCTCACAGTAACATAGGTTGAGGGAGGAGTTTTTTTCCCTAACACATGGATCTCTGTCAAACTGAAAAGTGCTTTGGGGTGGTTCTGTCCCAAATCCGCAATTGAGAGCCATTTGTTTTACAAAAGACCTCCTAGTACAGAATAGCTACAGTGGAACAGATGAAGCAGACAAACACAAATGCCTGCCCTCAGGGACTTCTGTCAGAGATCTGGCTTTGGCAGAAGGCCACAGTGAATGCTTGTGCTTCAAATACTGCCCCTGCACCGCTAACTGGGGGAATGGCCCACTTTTTTAAAAAATTTATATCCCGCCTATCTGGTCGGTTAAGAGCACTCTAGGCGGCTTCCAAGATCCACCAAAATTCTCTGCAATTACAACAGGATTTAGCATACCTGAACCAACATTTCATGCGTCAGGAACCCATGGACAGGTTGGGCACTCACCGGTTGATTGCCATTGCTATGTGTCATTAGGCTGCTTCTGATTTATGCTCATATGAATGCATGAAGGCCAAAATGTCCCTTTTATTAACAGCCCTGCTCAGGCTTTGCAGACTCAAGGCTGTGGTTTCCTTCATTGGATCAATCCGCCCCAATTTCCATCTTCTTCTCTTCCTGCTGCCTCCAACTTTTGCAAACATTATCGTCTTTTCCATCAAGTCTCCTTTTCTCACGATGTGCCCAAAGGTTAGTCAGTATTCAGGCTTGCTTGGACCTAGAACTCATTCATTTGTCTCTCTGGCAGTGCACAGTATCACAGGTTTCCTTTTGTCTCCAATACCACATGCCAATGGAAGTAAAAATACTGTACATCAAAAAGCAATAAGGAAATCCCAGGAGAAATTGAGCTAGGAAGCTATAAATCATAGGGTGTATTGACCAATTTGTCTGTATTCAATGGTGCAAAAATCAACTACCTATGATTTTAACTTATCTTTCATGTTCAGGTCCAAAGTGAACATGGCAGCACCTCCAGAAAAGTTCAATGTGGAAGAGCATAGGACCATAAGCAAGTTCCTGTTTCTCCAAGGGAATGGTGCAAAGCAAATCCATGATGAAATGCCACAAACTATGGGTGACAGTGGCCCTTTGTATGCAACAGTTAAATGTTGGGTTGTCAATTTTTTAAATGGCCATTTCAGTGTTGAAAGTGAGAAACCCAGTGGAAAGCCCGTTTCTGTCTCTGTGC